AAAGTAGCAGTATAATATATTCAACACTAATAAAATCACATCACTTAAAGGTGAGCCTTAACATGGTTTCTGCTATTGAACAAATGTCTGTTGATCTAGAAGCATGCAGGTTTCATACAGAATGTTTATCTTGCAATATTGTATAAAGGCACTCTATTTTAATTTTATTGGCTTCAGTGGTTTAATTTAAGGTTCTTAACTTTGTAGGTTTGCTGAATCATTGAAGCAGGAACCTGTATAGAAGGCAATATACATATATTGTATGTGTATACATATTTACAGAGTTACTTTGATTATAGAACCCTAGAATTATGGAGCAGGAAGGGACATCTAGTTCAACTCTCTATAATGCACTGGAAAACTAATTAAAGTGTCCTTGAGAGGTGGCTATTCAGCCTCTTTTTAAAAACCTCCAGGGATGAGAACCCATAACCTCTGTAGGTATTGTTCTACAGTTGTATAGATCTTATTGTCAGAAAGTTTTTCAGTTCAGTTAGAGTTGTTTTCAAGATATGACTCCATTACATGAAGACATGTGAATGATAAGTACAGCTTTGATCTACGTATTTAAAAACATCTTCCTCTGTGACCAGCCTCTGTATTCTAGGAGCCCCATTTAGAGCATTTAGGAAGCCTAACAAGATAGTACAATACACATTCTCCACTTAATCCTTTTTGTAGTGAGAGAACTGGTCTAAACTGGCTAGCTCTGTTGCAGTCAAATTCGAATCATAACAAAGGAGAAATCCCTAAATGCATTTCTAATTAGCTCCCTATTGCAACACAGATAGAACTTCTGTCACCAATGGTATATATTACAATCCATCTACGATAAAAGGATGGCTTTTGCAGAGTACAATTTACCGTACATGTGTGACATATCCTCTCTTCTCTTGTCTCCATGGAATAATTCAAAACCCAAACATACTTTGTAAGTCTATTATCTCTAAATAACATATGTGAAAATAATTCTGTATGTATTATGAAACCCAAGCTTGTAAAACACAACTAAGATAGCTTTACTTGAAAGCTTATGTATTTGTTTATTGCCTTCTACAAAAGCAGTTGAGCTCCTTGACTATATCATGCAGTAGAAGTCGAGTGTAATCTTTTTTATAGGACACTCTTATAAAAATTAATTCCATGAGACAGGTAAAACATCTCAACCCAGATCCATCACACATTATTATACTAAAAATACATATTTTCCTCTTTGCCCAGCTAACTTCTGCAAATACATTATCTTTCTGTTTTGTTATACTATTATTATTATAGTGGATAGTCAAAAAGGAGTTATAATGCAGCTCCCAAAAAGGTCTAGATTTATGTAATGAAGTAAACTGTAATTATTTTTCTTTTTTTAAAGTAACGTTAGAATTTGCTAAAAGCTTTCCATGTGCATTCATATTTATCAAGAGCAGCTGCTAATGTATTCTTGCAATTTTCATCTGATGACTTGTAGGAATAGAAAATGCGCAATCTGTTCTATAAAAGGATGAAGCATTTTAACAAGGAACTACCAGTAAATGACTAATAACTGGTAATAACTAAAACTTGTTCTTTTCAACAAAGAAATAAACAATGTCTTAGTCTTATCCTCTCAACCCCATTCATAAAACCTCAACATCCTCATGTTTTATTCAGTATTACATTCAATATTATATACAGAACAGTAAGTCTGGAAGCTGAAGATACCCAGTGCAGCAGGTGGGAGACTATTTCTGAAAGCAGAATGTCTTCATTTTCCTATATAACCTTGAATAAGGCAAATAATGTCACCAGAGAATTTTCAGCTCAATTCTAATGTCCACAATAGAATCTCAATAAGGGCCTTTATACGTGTGTGTAGATAAAAATGTATGTTCTGTTTACATTTACTTTTATATATGAAAGTATTATTCATATAAGAGTATTACTCACATAAGAGAAGCAGAAGAGCTGATTCTATCCAGGTTACCCACTTAGGTTATGCACCTCAGTGGCAGAGGGAAATCCTGAACAGGACTGATGAAGACAAGGCTGCTAAGAGGTTAGAGAACCATTGGAGGATCTTCCTCACATTATTCCATCATCAGCATGGGGGAAACGGAAGTATTGATTGAAATGTTCAAAGAATTATGCCAGAGAACATTAATCAAGGCATCCCATTCTATAAAGTTTTGGAAACTGTCTGATTCTTTCTCCCTTCTGTATCCATCACTTAGATTTGTGTGAAAGTTTGAAGTGTTGATTTGATTCAAAGGTGATTCAACTGAATCATCTCTTTCAGTAAAAGCTGTGAATCAAATTTCTGAGATGATTCAAGTTGTCAAAACAAATCAACTGCCTTTGAATTATTTTAGAGAGATTCTAAAGCAATTCAGAGACTGGGTAGATTTTTCTGGCTTTGTAAAACATTTATGTAGTTTTCTTTTCATATGTAAGCAAAGCTGGTGAGGGAACATTGAGTTGTTATGGGCTTTCTGATGTTGATATAGATGGAAGACAATGAGTTTTTTCAATCCTATGAACCCGTTTATCTGAATCCTGGGGAAAAACTGCTGAACTATTTGTGTCTCTCTCTTCTGCTAGAATTTGTTTAGGTAGTTTGACTTGAAGTAACAAGGGGGAGAGAGAGAGACTGAAATTTATTCACCGCTCTTTTTTGTTCTGGTTTGCTTTTTCTTGTGTGATTCTCTACCTTCCCACAAATCCACATCCTTTATTCTTATCCTGTATTAACTCTCAGACTATTTGTTAATCAATAGTATAATCCCTGTTAGTTTCTGTGTCCAGGCCGTCTGCAGTTCTTCAGCTTCTGTTCCCTCTCTCTCTTTAATTTCTTCACCCTCCCCCAACCCAATGCAAAATACCTGTTTTCCTTTTGCTATTTGCCTGTCTCTGGGTTGTGTTGCACAGAGTGGATGAGTCTTCTTCACTGCATAGTTTTTGATAGTATGCTTTCTTGTTAGACTATTGTATACATGATGCAGACTTTATTGACATCATAATGTATTCATTATATACAGTATGTCATGCCAATAAAACATAAAGTCTTCAATTTTCTTTTTTTTTAAAGTTGCACAAGCACCATAAAATATTTCATACTCAGAAAACTAAGAAAAAACTAAGCTCGCTAAGAAGCCATACCAAAATCTATCTTCATGCATACTCATCTATCAACCCAAAAGAGTAACTGGTCAGAGGCTGGTGGACTCTTTGATATGTATCTTACTTTATAAACTGTTTTTAACGTATTTATTTTTAAGTTGGAATACAGCACTTTCTACATTGGTTCAGCATAGGTTTTCTACAGGAAATTTGCAGGATGATTTGGAGGCTTCTGCACTGCCATTTCCTCATCTCTACTGTCTCTACCTTAGATGTGCAAAATTTTTTCAAATATTTACTGTGGTTAAATCTATAATGTTATGTGGCTAAAGTTTTGTAGGTTTCATGTTGTCTTAAGAGTCCTCCATTTTGTCAAAGAAAGCAAATCACAATGTTCTCCCTTCAGTTCTTGAATTGGACCTGCCTGCCTGCCTGCCTGCCTGTTGTACTACATGACCTCCCCCTTAAATAAGTTTGGAGAGTATTTAGACTTGCCTTTGAAGCTTGCTCTTTATTTTTTGTTCCTGACAATTAAATGCATTCATCTTACCACTGTTGCTGATGTTTTGGTTGTCACACAAGACAAAGGATAGCCCTGTAATCAAGAAAGCTGCTTGAGGAGCCAACATGACAATCTTCCATACACGATGAGTAAAAAAAAGGTTGGAACCTCCTGGTTTATCCAGTCTATTTTTAATTTCTTGGCTACTGAGAATCCACAGAAAAGAATGTAACATGACATGTGTTATTTCTGGCACCTGCTACTTAATCTGTATTTGCATTAGCTAAAGAGAGATAAATCCAGTACTATTCTGATATATCAAGTCATCTTATTTACATGTCTTCCACACAGGACAGCATACTTGTAAACATCAAATGAGAACAACTTTATAAGACCCACTGCAGCTGTCATTTCCTCAAAATGGAAGAAGAGAATGATTGGTCATACATGCAATGAGAAACCTAACACTACTTCCTACCACTGTAAATCTATGCAACTATATAAGGCCTAGTTCGATTTTCATGCAGTCCAGGTTTGTTTAGGAAAGAAAGAACCCTGACACAGCTGTCATTTCCTTCTAGGTTTCCACAAATCTAAGAATACTGAAGATGCACTCATTTTAAACACATTTTAGCCATTCATTTTAAAAGATTATATTCTTATCTCTCCATTGATTTGTATTTCTAAGAGCATTTGCCATTTCTTTTCAGCATTCTAGCCACTTGGCTCCAAGAGAGATATTGAATATTTGCAAAAATAAAATGTAGATCTCCCTTGCACATACAAGCAAATGTTCATGTGAGTGGATTTTTCACATACATATTCAATATGAGAAATAATTCCCCTGGAATCTTAGACTATTCTTGTGAATAAACCACTATTATGAACATTTATGTGGGAGTTAGCTGCAGTAATACAGGAACAACCACAAGAATTTACTTTACATTCCATTAGACTATTAGTCTATCTAGTTCAATACTGTCAGTGCTGGCTGGGTCTAGCTCTCCGTTTCAGACAGGACTATACCTTTTCACACCATATCTGGAAATGTCTGGATTAAAAATGACAAGTTCTACATGCCAAGCATGTATCACTGAGCAGGTATCAACCACACTGCCTTTCACACTGAAATTCTTCTTAAACAGTTGCTACCTACTGCACACAGTCTGATTGGCATTTAAATGAAACAAATTAAAATATAAATATTTAAATAATCAAAAAGCAACACTGTTGCTTTAATATGGCAAAATTAGGCTACTGTGAACAACTCACATTTTGGAGTGTTTGTGCTAATGAATCAGGGCTTGATGATACTCCAGGATAAAATGGATGCTCAAAATCCTATGGAGAAATACAGCAGCAATTTTACCACCAAACTATAATGTCCAATCTCAAGAATAAAGATTACCTGCCGTAAGTCAAGTGTGATGGTCACGTAGTGATATTCCATTCCATTTTGAATGCTAGGGCTTTGCCACCATGTATTCTTGCCATCGATTGCATTTGATATGGGATGTCTCACTATTGAACCAAGAGCAAAAAATAATAATCTTAATTAGAACAAAATGAAAATCTTTTTTACCCCTTATACTATGTTTTTCATGAGTGCAAGTTGAACTTATTATATAATCTCTTAAATAAAATTATTTTTCTAAGTTTCTTATGACACAGTGCTGACTTTAAAAGATGCATACATTGCTTTGTTATGAAATTCAACTCAACAGCATGTTTAGAAAGCTAATTAAGACAAGATTAAGTTGTGACATAACTTTCCTTTGCCTATCTGTAATAGGCTGAAGGAATAACCTTGAGGAACAGGAGGAAGAGCTGCAGCCAAGACAATGGTCAGATAAAAGAAATCTGACTCCGGGGCAAAGATGTAGTTTTAGAAAGCATCTCAGACATGACCCTCCCTAGTTCTCACAAAGATAAAAGGAGGGAATAAGGGCATTCTGACTTGCAAGATTCTGTTACTATAACCTTTTGATAAAAGTAGTATTAGTTTGTGTGTCTTTGGTTTCTTCTTCTACTTCCCATTCATATAGGATCCAAAAATATTATGTCCTTCTTATTGGCTGATTCCCTACAGGCTTCTGCCCAAAATAACAAGCCACTGGATTCTGCTGTAATGAAATAGCCATTAATTTCAATGGAACCTGCAACAGATTTCTCAGGCACTTCCCAGTGGCATAGTTCGTACTCAGAAGTGATCCCTAGTAAACTGACTGCTTTGTCATAGTGAACTTTTTTGAATTCTGATAGCTAATTTTGCTAGAATCTATTTCTTAAGATATATAATATAAGATCTATTTCTTAAGATCTCTCTCTCTCAATGTTTAATAAGAGAAAAATAAATGTAATACTAAAGCTATGCAGAGATTCAAAGGAGTGTTTCCTGTATGTATATATTCATATATATTATGAAGCCAGAGCAGCCAATAAAGTCAAAGCAGCTCTGCCTCAATGCTTTGATAGAAAGAGTCAATACAGAGGGACTTGATTCTGCAAAGAACCATATTAAGGTGCAATGTCTATACCAACAATGAAAACTGTCATAATTTACAGCTCAAAACCAAAAGTCAGGAAACAAAAGTGATCAGATAGTTTTTCCAAAATTATACATATCCTGGGGAAGAGATTATTTGTTCTGGCAAATCTGAGTTTTATATCATCTGAATATCTTAGCTTGACTGCCCTTTCTCAGCTGGAGAGTGGCAATCCATAAAAAGCACCCTTTTTCCCTGAAAGTGAATATTTTAATGGATAAGGGCACTGGAAAGTGCCCAAGATGTTACCTAGCTTGGTAATTAAACATTTGCAGGAAAAGAAGTGAATTCAAAGGACACCAGGAATCCAACAATCTGAAAAGCCCTCCATTATCTAGAGTTTGCTTATGATGGGAGAAAGTTTATTGTGCATTTGCTGATTTAGCAAAAGCTTATGATAAAGTAAATAGATTTGAATTACAGAATACTTTGCAACAATATGAAGCTGAGGCTGCTGAATGCAGCAAGACAGATATATGATGGAAGCAAAGCATGAAGGAGAATATATGAAGGAGGAATAAACAATATGGACATACAAAATTCATTGCTGCAGGAAGTGTTTTGAGAACTCTGAAACACTCTGTTTCCTCCAGACCTTGCCTTCCACCCTTTGGATCACGCTGTTCAGAGGGGTTTGGTGGTTTCCAGAAGTAAATCATCTCCATTGGAAGCAGTTTGAGGTATTCCACAGTTTATCCAATCCTAAAATAGGCCTGTTTCATCAGAATGTTATATCTAGAACACCTTGAACTATTTCCAAATGCTGAACCACACCTTGGACTAGCACAGTCAGAGAAATGGAATGCTCTTGAGCTTTCCAGAATGGAATATTTCAATCCTGGACTGAGGAATTTTGCACATCCCTCATCAATGAGGTGAAGGGAAGAGAAAGATGGAGAAAGTCATAGTTGGTTGGCTGGAGTTGATGAGATCCTCAAAAAGAGAAAAAGGAGAATGACACTGTATCAATCCAGGTATGGATATAGAAGAAACAAGGATGGTTTCCAGAGATAGAAAGACATGGAGAGGTATATTGAATATTGTTGTAAAGTATATTTAGGTGTATTTCCTTTTCTGTTATCCCTTGCCTTTAATTTATTTTGCTCACTATTTTCCCAATTACCCCAAAGTGTGATGGTTTGGTATATATCTATGTTGCTTACAGAAAATCACTACCATTGAAATCTGTTAACCAAGGTGACAATATTTAAATTAATGGTTTTATATTATGTCAGTATCTCAAAACGAAAGGAATATTTTCAAAAACACTGATAAATAAGAATGTCTGACTACATCTGAAAACACAATTAAAACCCTTTTGTTGGGAGAGAATCTATTAGTCATAAAACTGCAAATGCCAAGGAAATATTAACAGTCACATGTGATAAAACTGGAGAGAGAAGTGATTTTTTTATGGATTTATTATCTTTTTTTAAAAAAACTGTGTGGGTAAGAAGAAAGAGGACAAAATTACTCTTGGCACTATGTGATCTTTTTACTGCATCTGATCTTCTTCTTTTTTTCATCAATGAGCTTAAATGTATCTTGGGAGGGAAAAAAAAGCAGCTGTAAATCAAGCCCAGGTCTCCAAGGTGATAGCAATAGAAGTTGTCTAATTAGAAATTTTGCTATCAACCTCCCCACATCAAATTGATATGAGGAGTAGTCATGAAAAGGAAGAATGAGATATGAATATACAATTAACTGTAATCCCATTACAGAAGTTTAATCTTAATTAAATTGAAACCACTGATTAATTGCTGAAATGTATTTTCTTATTTTTGAAAAGTGTGAGGTAATATAAACTATATACTGCCTGTAAAAAAGGTGGGGGTGAGTCTGATAGAGCTGCAAGCTTAACACAAAGACTAGCCTCAGTGATGAATGACAAGGGAGTTAGCTTGCACTCAGGCAACTCATCAAAATGTGGTCTTTAATTTGGGCTCACATATGATTAACCAGGGAGTGTGTGTTCATTTCCTTCCACCGTAATTAAGGGGAGATGCACCAGATTCACAAATTCCAAGGGGACCATTTAAAGTCTGGTACATTACATGGCACTCTTATTAAAGGGCCATCTCTGGTAAATAAAACAGTTCACGGTGCCAAATGAACATTTTGCAAACCTTAAAATGAAATGAGTTTGTAATGAAAGACCATGTGTTTTAATGGCTGTCTGCACTGCAGATTAACAACAGTCAGAACTGCAGATGTGGGGTCTTTATGGAGGCTACTGAACTGATTAATACTGGATTTTAGTCTAAAAAGTCTTCAGAATTAGCCCACGCTTTTTTGGAGGGATAATCACTGAACTACACAGGTAAGTGACTTACCGTATTTTTCTTTTTGGGACTTCTCCAAGAATAAAACCTCCAAGAATAAAACCTCCAAGAAAAAATCTTTACATACATAAACTTTATTAATTGTCCCACCTTGTCTTTTATTCACAATGCTTAAGGCTGATATGAAGAATCTCCATCTGCCTCCACCTCCATGTTTGATGGACTCTAAACATGACTCCCAAGCTTACAAGACCCATACAAGGCCTCTTCTTCTCTCAAAAGTCCTACCCCCTTCTCTGTTGGTACTATTTTTACTTATAGAAGGTTCTAGCCTCTGTTTGATTTCTTCAGTTCACAACTAAGACTGGGAATAATTTTTCCCAGTTTCTATTTTCCATGAAGGAAGTTTGCTTTTCTCTTCTCATATAGAGACTGGGGGCAAAGAAAGACTGGAGGAGGGGCAGGAAGAGTGGGGCTTATCTTCGCTCCAAACCTAATGTCATCTGCACTCTAATGTCATCTGACCTGGGAGCACTAGAGGTGAGAACAAAGTTCCTACTTCTGGTTTCAGTTATATGGAGGAAAGGGGTGGCAGACCTGCTTTCATATGATCACAAGATGTCTGATGTGCAGATGGCTTCTACAACGGGTGTATTCCATTCCTGAATTAGGATCCAGCAAAAGTGCTACCTGGTCCAGTATAATAATTGCAGCTGAGAAAAAACTTTGATGGTTTCAACATGTATCCACATACAGAAGGATGTTAAGAACATAAAACAAATATTATACACCTACAATTTGGATTGTTACTGAGCTCGTCACAGATGCGGCATTGAGGGTTTCTTGCTGGCTGGCCAGGGACATGTTCCACCAACTTACAGTACATTTCTGGACCTCTTTTACCACAGGTAGCATTTGTGGTGATGACAGCATTAGAAGCCAAGTTCAGCACTGCTGGAAACAAACCTGAAAGAAGAAAAGTGAAGCAACACCAGAGTAAAATATCGACAGAAATGTTGCATATTCTGGTACAGGAATTAATGATATACTTTCTACAGCAATTTTAGAAGTCAGATTGATTCAGTCAATGCATAGAACACACTGGAAAAATATAACAACAAACCAATCAAAATCGGTAGCAGTTTCTGCCTTTAATAACCATAACATTGAGAAATCGAAAAGTATAGACCAATGACTTACCCACTCCAGAAACTATGTTATGTCACATTAGTGTCATCCATCCATCCATCCATCCATCCATCCATCCATCCATCCATCCATCCATCCATCTCAACATGCAGCATACAATTAAAAACCAATACAATGCCTAAAATCAGAAACAATAAACATGAATGTAACAGAAGGAGGAACATACTATAGCCCCCACACACCAGATGGGCAGACCATCAATTCGGCCAAGAGCTTGAAGGAAAAAGTAGACATTTAAAGATTCTGTAAAGGTTTGCAGGGTCAGGACATCCAGGGGGATGCTTTTTTTTCAAAAAGAAGGTGCTGTGACAAGGAAATGTGCATCCCAGGTCCTATCACATGGATGGAACATGATGGGTACCTGCTCTGTCAGATCTTACAGGGCAGAATTGTTGGCAGAGAGACAGTTCCTCAGAGATACATGCCCTATGCTATGAAGGGCTTTATAGGTGATAACTAGCATCCTGAATTGCACTCAGAAGCTCACTACTAAGCGGTGCAGCTCATGTAAAAGAGGTGTTACATGGTTATACTGAGGTGCACCCAAAAGTGTTTGTGCCACTGCATTTTGGACCAGCTGTAGCTTCTGAGGAGTTTTTAAGGTAGCCTCCAACACCATAAGAACCACCCCCCCATCGCCACTTGGTTGAGCCAGACTCAAACAGCCTCCAGGCACAGGAACATAAGGTCACTTGATTCAGCAGGGGTTGAGATGTGCAGCTGAGTATCACCAACTCTCTGATGGTGCCTGACCCTAGTTAAACATTATTACTCTTTTCCTATCTTTTCAAGCTTTTGTATTCCCAGTACGTTCCACCTTTATTCCAAGAGATTTCTGCAGCGGTTTTAACATCTTCAGTTTCAAACAAGTGAAACTGTGGATTCCCCCCCCAAAAAAAACTTCAAGTTTTAAATGTGGATCAAATATTATAGTATTTTGCAAAACAAACAAACAAACAAAAAAGACAAGTGGGCTAGGTATACAGAAAACAAAAGACATAAGGGTGACATTGGTGTAATGGTTATGATGTTGGACTAGGTTTGGGAATATCTAGGTTCAAGTCCACTCTCAGCGATAAAAGCTCATTGGGTGATTTTGGACCAATCACACTCTCTCAGCTCAACCCACCTCACAGGGTTATTGTTGTGAGAGGCACTACTGGAGGCACTCTTTATGCTGCCCTGGAAACTAGAGGAAAGGTGGATTAAGCGTAAGGTAGACCAACAGCATCTTCTCCTTGCCATATACATGTCTACAATTGTTCTCTGTTTCCAGCTACAAACTTTAATAGACACAAAGTCTAACCTCATCTAACTTGTCAAGGATGGGCTTGAATGTATGACAGATTTTCAAATAATTTCCTGTCTTCTTCCTTGCAGAATTAATGTAATATTATTCAGCCCATTTCTTTTGATCTGCCACCTCAGTTCCCTTGTCTGTCCCTGCAATTAACCTTTGTGTCATTTAATTACTGACCCTTTTGGTCATGGTACAGTTATCCTCTGACATTCTACATTAGTGACTCCAATGCTCCCTTTAAAACTAGGTTAAACATATTACCTAAGCAAGACACCCAATTAGTTACTAACATGTTCAATTTGTACTACCAGTCAATCAATAGCCAGAACTTTGTCGAATTTGGCATATTTTTCTTGTGCTTTAAGTTCTATATTTTACTCTTGCTGGGTTTTCCTTAAAACAACAACAGCAACCCACCACCATTCGGATATATTTATGGCTCTCTGTAGCGCAGGGAGGGGTTGCACAGTAAAAAGAGGGTACTGAAAGTGCAAATGAATTGTCAGTGGCTCCAGCAGCTCCCGATTGACTTACAACCTTATTATGTCTGAAGCTCTGTGACATGAATCACATAAAAGCCAGCAATCATTTACGCATAAGGTAAAGACCACCATCACGCTTTCCTCTAGCTTCATCTAATAGGAACATGATATAAACACATAAAGCCATGAGGTAGAAAAGGATTTACACCATAAGATGTTAGAAAATATATTAAAGGAATATAAACAGAAGGTGTAAAACAGTAATCGGGCAAATACACACCACTATAGATTTCCCTTTTTCTTTCATTTCTTTCTATTACATATTTGCAAAAATGTACCATGAGGGCAGGGTGACCTTTTAGGGACAACTAAATATTATATGGAGATGCAAGAAGAAATCTCCTGGTGGTTTAAAACAAAAATAGAGGGGAAAACTACCACAAAAAATTGAGTAATATTTATCCTAGCAACTGCTTTTTTTTTTTTAACCTAAACTTGGTAATGAATTCATGATTATATCTGAGTATATTATTTTAATAAATAGGATCCAGAACAAAGCAGTTAGTGTTTTAATATAGCATAGTATTTACCACCTTAGACAAAATATTCACTCTTGTCTTAAGGAAAAATGTCTCTTTTAAGATACCCCTCTACACACATACCCATATGTATGTAGGTATAAATATGCTGACGATTCATTTGGGACACCTCTGAAATAAACAAAACGGGTTATAACTGATCTACCATAGCAGACCAGTTAAGCCAGGGGTTCTCAAAGTACGGCCCGCAGGCCAGATACGGCCCTCCAGGGTCATTTATCCAGCCCGCCTGCCTGATTGGCCGCTGCTGCTGTCTGTCAGAAGCAGAAGTGTCGGGGCTGTGTCGGGAGCTGCAGGCAATGCACGAGGAGGGAGATCACAGAGCTGGACTATTCTACATGACAGGTATGCCGGGTCCAGTGGCTCTCCTCCTCTCCTCATACTCCGCGGGAGGGATCCTCTGTGCAGGGTGATAGGTGGGGTCCAGGGTGCCCTATTACTTTCTCCATTTGGGCTGTGTGGGTGCCCCTCAAGTAGGAGAATGGCCACTGGCACTGACCAATAATGAGGGGGGCAGGGGGTGGGAGGGGAGAATAACATTTACTCACATTGACATTGGTTAAAATTGTTCTTTATTTTAATAATTGTATTGTTTTTTTCCTGGTTTTTTTTTTTGTACTACAAATAAAATATGTGCAGTGTGCATAGGAATTTGTTCATGTTTTTTTCAAACTATAGTCCGGCCCCCCAACATTCTGAGGGACTGTGAACTGGCCCCTTGTTTAAAAAGTTATTTGTTCATGTTTTTTTCAAACTATAGTCCGGCCCCCCAACATTCTGAGGGACTGTGAACTGGCCCCTTGTTTAAAAAGTTATTTGTTCATGTTTTTTTCAAACTATAGTCCGGCCCCCCAACATTCTGAGGGACTGTGAACTGGCCCCTTGTTTAAAAAGTTTGAGGACCCCTGAGTTAAGCTCACAGCACTTGTTTTAATAAATATTATGAGTACCTCTGGATGAGGGTATAATCCACTTGTACCTATCAAAAGTCAACCAAACACATGGCCATAAGGGGAAAAAATCAATGCCAATAAGTTTACATATTAAGCTTTTGGGGTACCATTGCTAAATACAACAGCATGGTAGAATTAAAATAAACCACAAAAATACATCAACTTTGCCTTATTTGAGACAAAGGCAAATGAAACAGCTGTCAATTAATAGCTTTGGTTCATTTTACAAACATTAGTATTGCTGCTGAAGTTCAGATTTACCAGTCTGGTTTGCAGTAGGACTGAGCAGTATTTACTTTTCAAAATGCTTTCTAGGCCTGACTGTAATCCAATACTGTGCATTTCCCCTGCTGAAATCTTGACTGTAGCAATGACAGTATCCGAGTAATATGCCAGGCATGAGGAACTGTGCCCTTGAAAGGGATGTCAGGTTGCTCTTAAAGCATGTCTCCCAGCAGTGATGTGCCTGATATACAACTGAGTATAATAGACTTTCATGAAATTTTGTTGTTGATGGCCTTGATGAAAGAAAGGGGCCAAGAGAAGAGAAATTCATTCTTATTGTATTCCTAATGATGTTGAAAGTTTGTGCAATGTGGGGGTGGGGAGAAGATAAACTATTGCAAAATAAAGCAGTTTGCTAAATCTGTTTCTGTATCAAATGTTCACCAGTTGTAATATGAATAATAATCTTTTCTTAAAAGATTCAGTTGGAAATGTTTTTTGAGATAACCTCTTTATTTTAATTGCTTTTTTGCTAACTGCTATGAAAAAAAATTGATTGGAATGTTTTAATTGTAGACATATTACTTGGAGACTATTAGCAGTCTTATAAAGAATTCTCATTTAATGCCATAACTCCTTCTTCCTTATTTCATGTTGGATTTCACACTGACTCATGAGCAAGTGAGCTTCCTATAAACATTATTTTTAAAGTTTTGTAGTATGGCTTCTGTCACCAAGGGTTTTACTATTAATTTTACCTTGATTAGTAGCTTCGTGATCTGAAAGTCTGCTAAATGCTTCATTAGCATGAGTTATGAACTCAAAGTGCGCTGATACCAAGAGCAAATTTAGAGTAGGAAAACTTTGGTGGCGTCTGCAACATTATTCTCTCTCCCCACTGAGTGGCAGAGGGGGCAGGCTGTCTATCCTATAGTATATCTGCCAGGGAAGGAAGGATTTATCCTCTTTTTAAAATAGAAGTCCCATAATCAAGAATATACTTAAAATGACACTTAAAATGAAATATCTGATGATCCATTTGCAATAAACTGAGCTAAAATTAAAATGCGCCCTGAAAAGGTTAATCATATACACTTCAGAAATTACTGCACCAGTGCACCATTTTACAAAGACATGTATCCATGTGCTGATGTCTTTCTGTGGCTCTGGTTGTGAACAGTTTACCACAATCAGTTGGAAGAAAACACTGCTCTTCGCTGTGCCAGTGTGATGTCATTAACTGAGAACAGAATTTGACCCAGTAATGTAACATGTTACCCGCATCAGCACAAGCAACTATTGTTAGATGCTCTATTAAAAGAGATGCACTGTCAGTGTGTCAGTGTTTCAAGAAAAGAATCTTGTCCTACTCAACCCCCTGCTGGCATACATGAGCACAGATGGAAGGCAAAACACAGAAGCAACAGAAGATGGGAGATGAATTCAAATCTACTCTGAAGTCAAATCCTAAAGTGCTGGTAGTGATTGCCAAGCCTTTGAGCTGGCATTTTTGAACTTTTGGGTAAAGCTCAGGGCTATCAGACCTGAGCTATAAGCAATCCAAATGTCAGCAAAGAGATACAGAAAACACCAAATCTGCCATCTAATGGTGGTCCACATTTTTGCTACCCCGGCCTGGTAGCTTTTGTAAAGTCCTTTGTAATCCTGCCTTTCTGCTTTCATTATCTTTTGTTTTAACTTGACACGACAAAAGGAATCACAGTCATACTAACACAGGTTACATTTGTCTGTGTTTACCACTGATGTGATCTAATGCCAGGGAAGCAAAAGTGGTTCAGTACTAATTCGAGTCTTTGCTTTCCTCTTCCTTTATGCAATTTGAGAAGTCATTTCTGGATAATGCCTTTGAAAAACAGGAGTGAAAAACCTATGTTGCTTGCTGCAGTTGGGGGCATGCAGATTAGCAGAAAATCATTTCATGTTCCTTCAACCCACTATTCTATCCTTATTTTTGAGAGAACCATTTTAAAACACATCCAGAAATTCGACAATTGCTGCCCTATAGATTTTATACAAATTCTACCACAATGTACACATTTTTATGCACAGCTTTTCTGATTGGTGTAATATACAGGTAGTCCCCAGTTTAAGAACAAGTTCCGTTCCGAAGGTCTGCCCTTAAGTCGAATTTGTATGTAAGCCGGTACAGTATTATTGTATAATACTATATAAGTAGTATTGTGTAATTAACACAAACCATTGTGTATTTAACTCAAATCATTTTGTATTTAACTCAAATTTTGCTATAATAGGCTCCATTCTTAACTATCAGTCATCCTTAAACCTGGCATTCTTAACCCAGGGACTACCTGCAACTTATTTTCTATGCAGCTGCCCAATACATTTTCTCTTTGAAACTTGCCAAATACATACTTTCTTTTATAAAATTCTTATACATCCCCTTAGACAAAGCAGTTATGTAGTGAAGTGTATGTGGAGGGCATAGTTATCAGCCTCTTTTGATTGGATCACTTCCTGGTCCAGATGAGACTAATTACAATGCCCCCCCCCCAAGGTCTTATGGATTTGGATGGATTCCATAAGGCACTTGGGGAGTTTCCAAGATATCTTGAAGGCAATTCAGTTGAATGCTGTGTTGCCTGCTGATAAGTGACCCAGGCTTTTGACGAGGTTGCTACTGGTTTTTCCCTGCATGCCAGTCCCAGATGGTGTCTTGGTTTATTAAGAAAATCTGGGAGGCGAAGTGGCAGAAAAAATGCCTAGATAAGAAGAGGAGAAATACAAAGAGAAAGACAAGAAGTCAACCTGATTGCCCATGGACACAAGCTCAGGTTTGAGCCTACACCATGGCAATAAGAAAGGCAAAGTATCATTACTTCTTCTCAGTTAGTGCATTGGTACACTGTAGACCAGCAGTCTTGTTTAGGATAAGCTAAATTCTTGCTGGGGAGGGGGCATTAATTAGATTTGTTCAAATATAATTTATTTTCTACAAACTAGAATTTCTCCTTTCCAAAGTCCTCTGTCCTTCTCAAATTGAATTCTACCCAATTTTAAATCAATCTTGAAAATATGATATAAGCAGGTCCTTAAAAGCAGTTTACTCAAATTAAGACTCACTGGATTGGATCCATATTCAAATTCAAAAAGATTCTATTCATACTGGAAGATGGAAGCAAGGGAGTAGCTTTTGACAATTCTCCTTCCGAAATGATCACCTTTCATGACCAATGAACTTGATTAGTTACAAATGAGCCAACTGAATTTAAAACCTATGTCTGGCTCCATACATCATCAGATAGTCAGAACAAGCGAGTCAAAAATGTGATTTGCTTATTTCTGGCTCAGCATGGTGTGTAGGCCCACTCATTTTGTTCTATTCAATAAAACATAGTTATATGTGAATCCAGGCAAAATATACAAACATT